CATAGCAAACGGATGCGAGGCGGCGCCTCACTATTGTGCCACACTGTGCATACAACAGGTGCTTGGTAAGCGGAGTCTGGTATCATCGGGCACACAGGCACTACCCGATTTTCTGGTGGACATGGGTTCCTCAGCAGCACCCACTCACCTGTGGTCCCCGGGCCCTCCAGAGCAGAGCCTGTCTACGAATGGCATAGCACCCTTCCCCTGCAGCCGGTGGCCCTTAGGGATCTGGAAGTGAGCTTTCCTGCTCCCCAAGCCCGTCCCCTCCTAGAGACAACCTGGGCCTCTAGGCCCTGGTGGTTCTCCCCAGCAGGGGCCAGGAGGCAGAGGGAGCAGAGGCCCACTGGTGTTGGAATCGTTCCTCTGTGCTGGCGTGGTCACGCAGCATTGCTATGGCTTCCGCTGGCATAAGCAAGCACAGGGGCTGGGGTACCTCTTGGGGCTCTGTCAGCGTGAGCAGTCCTGCCAGAAGCCCTGGCTGCCAGGAGGGAAGATGCTGGCTCTGCACCTCAGGTGTGGGGAAGCCAGGGTGGCCAAGGGCAGGCTACCTCCACGGTGCCTAACCCAGGCCTGCCAGAACCTAGACAGCGCCCACGGGGCCAGACACTGCTCCTGCACCACCCACTGTGGCTCCTCCAAGGCCATCAGACCTGATCTTCAGGTGCAGGGATCCCTCGATCACCCTGCCCAGGAGCCCCCTCCCCCACAGGGGTATTTTAGGGATGACACATCTGAAGGTGCAAGGTCACTGTCCTCTCACGGTTTTCCTCACCTGGGACATGTTAGTTTCAGATGTGCATGTGCTGGGGACAAGCACTTGACGTGACCACAGCCATGAGTAGTGAGCCACATACCTCTCACCGTCAGGACTGGAAGGAGGGTCCTAAATAAGGCAGGTTTTGCTGGGACCAGGGCCTTTGCACTGAGCTACATCCTTAGTCAATACAGTACAGGGTCAGTAATTCCCCAGGCTTGGCTCAAAACGAGGATCCTGCCTCAGCCTCCCAGAGCGCTGGGATTACAGAGGTGGCGTGCCTGCTTAGTCACCCTTGAAACTAGAACCCACGTGCTGCAAGGGCCTGCCATCCCCACTGCACAGATGCAGCGGCCAGATCTGTCTGGAGGATCCTCGTTTGCTTCCTGTATGAGCTTGGAAGCTATCCGTTTGAAGCCTGTCTCTCCTCTTCAGGCACCCAGGGTCACTCTACCCAGGGCCAACCTTGCCTTACACCTTTCTCTGGGACATGGCAGTCTCAAAGCTGGGTGAGCAACCACTTGCCTCAAGGGGCTGAAACACGAACACTCACTGTTTGAATGGGGTGGGGCTGAGGGGGTGTGGAGGTGAGGACCGACTGGCCCCAGGCAGCAGGGATGAAATGGGGTGAAGGGCTGTCTTGGCCCAAAGCAAGGCACCTCAGAAGCAAGTTCTCAGCCAGGCATGGTGGTGTACACCTGCCAAACCCCAACCTGGGAGGCTGAGGCAGGAAGATTCCAAGTTCAAGCTCAGACTGGGGTACTCAGCAAGTTTCTATTTAAAAAAAAAAAAATTATTTTTAAGGCTGGGAATTTAGCTCAGGTCCTGGGTTCAATCTCCAGTCACACACACACACACCCATCCTATTCACAAAGTCTTTGCCTTTGCCAGTCTTCAAGAGTTTTACTTATTTTGTCTCCCAGCAGAATGTTTCAGTGTTTAGATCTTTGCTCCAGTTTGATTTTCATCTGGTACACGGCGAGAGGTATGCATCTAGATCCAATCTTTGGCCTGTGGGAAGCCACCTTCTCCAGTTCCATTTATCAGAGGCTGTCTTTCCTCCAGTGAAGGGACGTGACCCCTAGTCCAAGGCAGCTGGGTATGCAAGGAGGTTATTTCTGCCAAGAGCAGAACAAATAAACGCACACCCACAACACACTTGAGACTCAACAGCTTTGCCAGAAAAGAAAATGTCAAAATACATTTAAATAACAACTCAGTGAAGACTGAAAGATAAAGCTTTTCGGATTTTTTTTGTCTTTATTTTTTTTTTTCTAAGGAGGAAAATCAGAGGTGTGAAGAATCACAACAGTTCCCTTACGTTCTCAGTTTGAAGGGTTAATTTTTCCAAATCAGAGCCGTTTCCACCCAGACACCGGGGAGGGGAAAGGGCTGCTCATGTTGAGGCCGCTCTGGGTTGGCTTATGCTTCCTGGACTCGCAGCACAGGCTGGGGCCAGCACAGTGAGGACGAGCGAACACTGGACAGACCTGGGCGGCATCACTGTTGCGGTGCGCTGCAGGGAGAAGGGACCGGGCAGACTCCGGGCTCCCCGCACCTGGCATCTCCTTCCCACGCAAGGACAGAGCATGCTCAGGAAACAACGCAGCCGGGCGCTCGGCTCCTGACCAGGGCTGATGCACACCGAACTGAGTAATCTGGGCACTGTGCACATGAGAGGATGGGGACAGACAGAGGTGCATCTTTATGCCGGCACCACCACGAAACCACAAACGACCATGGCAAGGAGCAAGGAACATACTTCCTATGCTCCACGGTCCCACCGTCCCCTGCTGGCTGTGGGGACTCGGGAGTCTCTTCTGGTCTTTCCAGTAAAGCTGAGTCTGAAGTCAGCAGCACACCAGGGAAGGGCGTCCCAGGCTCACAGCTCTGAGGACAGGCCGGGCAGCGAGATGCTGGCAGGCAGTCGGAGCCACCCGAGGCGTGCACGTCTGGAGGAGGGCAGGCCCGTGACTGGGACCTCGTGGTGAACAGCACACTGGGTGACCGAAGCTTGGTGCAGCCCACAGGCAGCGTACGGCGTGTGGGACTCCCACAGCACCCATCTCCAGGCCCACTCACGTGTGCTTACTATGGGCAGCATTAAGAGCAGGAAGGGCAGGCGTCGGACACCCACACAACCTCCAGTGTGGATGACAGAGATGCCCACCTCTTTCCCACCCAGCCTGGGGTTCAGTGTGGAAAATGTACGTCTACACCACAGTACTATTCAGAGTTCCTGTGACTGAATTTCATCGGCCAGGCACTGTGCTGGTGACAAGCCTTTGAGGGAAGGTGTTCCTACTACAGAGCAGACCCGAGCCCAGGAGCCTTGTACCTCGTGGTGGGTGCTGGTACTACTGACACCAGGTTTAATCCAAATCTTTGTTCCACAGCTTTAGAAAACATAAAAGAAGCCAGGCATGGTGGCAAATCCCTGTAATCCCAGCCCTCTGGAGTCTGAGGCCAGCCTGGGCTATACAGTGAGTCCAAGGCCAGCCTAGAGCACACAGTGAGACTCTGTCTCAAAGTAAAAAATGAGAAAAATAAAATACAAGATTTGGTCCTAATTCACACAAGTACATTAAAGAAGTTTTAGTGTTTTGTTCCCAATCCCTAGCCCTACCATCTTTTTCTGGTAAAATACAATAAAAAAACCTTGCTGTGGCATGGTCTGGAGCACATGTTGCTGCTCCAGAGTGCTTTCTCGGGCTTCTGGATTGGAGGCACGAGGTCCTACTTCTTGCCTCCTTTTCCCCATCCCTCCTGTCCATGCCTAAGGACTGTCTGTGATGCAGGGGCTCCCAATCTTCCCCAATGGCTAGCAAAGGACACACAGCATTTTCTGAAACCCACAGTCCTATCCTGTCTCCAAGGACTCCCAGCACTTTCTGAAATCTGAGAGGAAACCCCTCCAGCCCTACGGCTTCCCCCTGCAGAAGGCTGGGACACCCTCAGGACAGAACAGCAGAGGCTACCTTTCTCCCTGCCTCATGTTCCAGTGCTGGAAATGGAGGCCAGCAGGTTCCCCACCCACATCCTCTGGGGTGACCAATCTCGAGGGAAGATGAAGGAATCCTGGCAAAGCATGTCCGAACCACCAGATCCCAGCAAGCCTGACCATCAAGCAGGCACCACACAGGCCTGATGCCCTCTTCTCTTTGGTTCCCCCTCTTCTCTTTTGGTCCTAGCTCAGTCACCTGTCTGTCCTGCCTGCATCTGGCCATCTCTTCCTGCAAACACTCGCCTGGCTTTGTGACTCTAAGGGGACAGGTCCAGGCGCTGCTCTGGTGACTCTGAGGTGACACCGTGAGACCTGCAGACACGAACCCACCTCCAAACCCTCAAAATTTCCACTCTTCCATGCTTGGCTGGAAACGCTGAGTCCACGTTGTCTGAGTTTGTTTTAATTCTACATTAATGAAAAGGAAAGCTAGGTGAATACTGCAGCCTGTGACCACGACCTCTTGTTGCTTTGCTGAACTGATGCTCTAGGACTGCAGCAGACAAGGCACATGTACCTGGCACAGGGTGCCCACAGTCACCGTTCCCCGCATGCCTCCATCTCTCATGAACTGATCAGGGAGGGGCTCCTAATAAGATGCCCTTTGTGGGTTACTTTTGTGCTTGCTAGGGCATAGGGACAAACTCTCCCTCTATAAAGTCACAGTTACTTGACAGGAGAGTAGAGGAGGAGAAGAGACAATTAAGGTCCCAGGACACCACTCTCCTTGGCTTCAGGTACTCCAGGCACATATTCAAGCTCCCCAGCTGTCAGGGAGCAAGAGTTTTAGCACAGAAAGAACCTGTCTCTCTCCCAATGTTCACTCGGAGAACAAGGTCAGAAATACAAGTCTGCCACAGAAGAATCCCAAAATAATCCAATTTGGAAAGAATTTAATTAACAAAATAAAGTGGAGGAAAATGGTCCACATGGGGCTGCAGGGCAACAGGACTCCTGCCCAAGGCCAACGTGTGCTAGTACCCTGCACAAACAGCTTTGACAACCAAACCAGTGCGCCATCACTACGTATAGACTTGAAGCCAGATGACCACGCTCTGCTGTGCAGGCGGCCAGCTCCTGGGTGCCAGCTTGGCACATCACGCATGCAAAGCAAGGAGACTTCAGGCTTCACCAGTTAACTTTGGCAAAAAAAAAAAAA